TACAATTACCCAACAACGCACTCAATTCTTTCCTCTTCGTTTATATGATACAATGGTTTCAACCATTGACAGTAATGCAGGCGGATTACATTATTAAATCTAGGCTGTAAATACAAATGTAAATTAAATTATGACAATAAATACAATAACTTACTCCTTGAATAAATTCCTAGCCGTTCTGACATATTTGAAAGCAAAATAGTGAGGAAGTTCACATAAACTGGTTGAAATAGATTGAGGACAACAATCTGATTTGAGCCAGCCTAAAACTATTTTAGATGTAGCTATTGAGACTTATATCTAATCTGAATTCAAAAACAAATAACTTATAATGGCTATTAACACATCAAACTGATTTTATCATTGAAAAAGCTATAAATTTTCTTGTACAATTTATCTCTGCTAGAGATGCTCTGTAGCTAGAGAGATCTCTGCCTAAACCACTTCTGTCAAACACCCATTGCTCGCTTAGTGTTGGCACTTGGTCTGGCATACAACAGCTTATATTCAGTTTTTGTGTTCTTTCCAAAAGAATACGAAAATGTTTTTAAAATATGGAAGTGAAATTCACAATTCAAAATTGATATTCACGTTCTTTATGTGATGTGTGGTTTTTACAAGTCATTCTTAAAAGATTCGTTTGATTTTAGTAAGTTAAAGTCTTATGGTGGTTGTCGGTAGTTACAAGCTTAACATTGGCTAAGCAGTAAATATATCTTGAAAAGCTGTGAATAAAAAATTTTAGTGGAAAACCTAATTAAACTAAGAATACTCAATGGCTTTTTGTTGTAAAATGTTTTGTTCAATTAACCCAATCACTAGTACACATTCCAAATTTCTGCTATAAAAAGGAGATACTCACTCATTTAATATAGTGAGAAAATTGAACTTTTTTGAAAAAACATGAAACAGCTTTTGTACTTACTCACTTATGTTGATGAATAGGTAAAACAATACGATCACCATCACCATAATATAAAAATACGTGCTTAAGTATTATTAGTAAAAGCTATAGGAAACTGCGACCTAAAAAATCTATTATAGGCGGCACTTAGTCGGACTAGAGTGTTTTTTCAAGTCCGATACCTTTAATGAAAGTCATGTGTTTCTTCAGTTCCTCCTACATTTTTGCATTAGAGTCGAGCATTCCACAATGTAATTTCTTTCTTTTCTCTACATTATCGGCAGTCTGAGTTGAATTAGATTCCTTACGTTGTTAGATGATAATTCAATCTACAGGGACCGGTTAGTATTCCCGTAATAATTCTTAAGTTATTCTTTATTTATTCTATGCAATCCTTAAAGCGTTTCAGATTACAAGTCCCTAAAAGAATTTTAGACTGTTGTAGTCTTGGAAACCCTTCCCAATATAGTTCTCTTTCTTTTTTCCTCTGCGCCGTTCAAAAGAAGGGAGAGATGTCTTTTGCCTAGACAATAAATACTCTATCATCATTAAAGCCGCGCCTCTTCTTGCGAGTTAGTCTGCCACTTTATTACCTTGAATTCCATATTAAGCGCACCTATTTGTTCCAGCGAAGTATGTTCAGCTTTTCAGTGCTCTCCAATACCAGTTTAGATGTCAATTGGTAAGACATGTGAGGAGCTTGAGTATACTTTTCATAAAATTTTACTAACAGCATCAATTATCTAAAATTTTAAATGAACTAGATTTAGATTCTCACTTTTATTATAAGTAAACTTAAGAAACTAAAAGCTTCAACTGTTCAATCAAGTAATTTTACTTTCTCAGTCGGAATTCGAAATAATTTTAAATTGTTATTAGTTTCTAATTTATCCAAACTTAGAGATAGTAGTTATAGCATAGTTATAGACCGCCAGAACCAATACTTTATACAATTTTCTTAGGCTGATTAATGGCCTCAATCCCTTCAGCAAATTTGTTTTATGACATCTCCAATAGCTTTCCGCAAGGTTATGATTTAAAATTTTGCAACAAAAAACAGTCATATGAGGCCACATCTGTTGATCGGAAAGTTTGCACAACAATAATTTATTTTATGCCTGTTAAACTGTAGTTGCAAAAATAATTGTTGTGGATGCACTAGATAATAGATCGCGCTCATACTACATGTCCCTTGGTAATATGTACAGTGTTACCAACTTAATATCCACAAAAAAATTTTGCTAGTCTCTTTTATTCGTGTTTTTCAATCATAAATTCTATATAATTTTCATACAGAATATGCAGCAAAAAAAATCTTACGACAATTCTTGTTTAGATGATGTTTAATACCTTCATATATAAAAGGATATTATGCAAGTTATATACAGTCGGCATAAATCATAAACCAAGAAAAAATATTTAAAGTTTTTATGTTATTTTTATTTCATCAACTATAATTAATTTTTTCCAGATGTTAATGATTGAGTTTAATTTATAAGGGCTTAAGTAGCAATGGGTGTTAATTTCGTATTAATTTTTATTAAAAAAGTATCTAATATTTTGTTTTTTTTTCTTACAAAGCAACTCTTGCACGACCAAACTATGGATATGCACATTTAGTGTGCAATTTTGTCCATATACTTTGAGACATTAAATATATTGCCCGGGTTAATAACATTAACTGTTGTCATTTAAGTTCTGCCATAAAATTGCTGCAATTTTAGTTAGCATTCAGTTGCTACCAAGTCATGAGAAATAAAACGTTAGTTTATGGCACCAATATTTACAGTGCAATTAATCAATTTTTATATTGTGTTTACCGGGCAAAATTGTGGGCGTTCATCTAAACACTTTAAGTAGTTTTCATGCATAAGCATTGTTAGTACTGAAATAATTCTTAATATACTAAACATAAACAATTTAGGAATTCACAGCAATAATACAAAATCCGAAAGAGCTAAAAATATCTAATAATATACTTGAAATGCTAAGTGTGTGGGATTTTAATATGAAATTTAATTAAATACACAAATAATATTTATTGCATTTTGATATTTGTATTATTCATTAGCTGCTGCATTTAATTAATTAATTATAATATTTTAATAAGTTTTCATTATGTTTTGATTACCTTAAAATTTTTTATTATTTTTTTTTTATTTTTTATTCATATGTAAATAATTTGTTTATATCTTACAGATTAATTCAAGTTATTTAGAAAATTCGGAAAGTTTGCATCAAAAAGGAAATAATAAGGAACTTAAGATTGTATCCAACAACTAAAGTAAGTTTTAGGCCATAATTTTTTAATAAATATAGAGATTAAGTAGTAATTAAATATTCCCTATCCATTCTATTTTTCAATAACTTATTTCGTCATCATCATTTAACATTAAAGTTTAAGGTGAGCTTTAGCTTTATCAATCATGGTTTTTATATCCCTCTGAATTTTTTAATGTCCATTTTATAACTCATAATATTAACTGCCTGCTATTATTGATCAATTTTGACTTGCTCCCACTCAGGTATTATTAGAAATGCATTGTAATTCAAATGCATTGAAAGATAAAAATGCTTGGAACTTAAGCATTGAAAGTTTCTGCAGCCTTGACTACTTGTGATGAAAACATGATTAGTCATCATTTCTAATTTGAAAGGCACGACTTCTAAGCCTGGCACTTACAGCCCAACAAATTATATACGGACTTTAAACTAATTAAATAAAAATATTTCCTAAGATCACTGATGCTGAGTACTTAGCAATACTCGAAACAGCGTTGTATGGTCAGCCAAATTTCAATAAATTATTTAATTATTTGTTTTTGTTTTCTTTATTACTGTTCGAACCCTTCTAGTTTCTTTTCGAAAGTTTGTTTTGATAATTGTTAATCCCGTGGCAAAATTCATGAATGGTTTATGTTTCTTAAAATAAAAATGGACCTAAGGTATAAGAAACGAGATAGCTAATTAAAATCTATGATCACCGCCGATTCCACAGATTAGCCGTGTACGTAAATTAATCAGTGATGAGATAAATTTTAATTAAAATTAAAGGAAATTTGATTTGTTAATATTTTAATTATGCATTTTTAGCTTTGCATTGGTTCTAATGCAATCTACATTTCGCAATATATAAGACATGTTTAAAATAATAGCTTTAGTGACATAATCTATATACAATTACATACATAAGTGAATTTAATCACTTGTAAAATTTACCTGGAAAACTATATTTGCTAACGAAATGACATGTAGAAGCCATCGAAAAGATTACCACCTACTTTTTTCAAAATCATTTTGGACAATGTCTTCAAATATTCATTTGATACAATCATTGTATTAAATCGGAAGGAAACCATTTAAACAAAAAATTTGGGTTTCGGCCGAGGAGAATGATTACTGTTTATCGAAAAAAGATCTGTTTACTTTGGACCACACATTATATAAATTTACTTGCATTTTTTTCATTCCATATAACTGTTTAATACGTCGAAATTATTTAATAACTTGCACTTTGAATACACTTAGTCTTGTTTTCTCCACAATTTGATTTTTCGTACTATTTTATTAGAAAGCTTTAAAATATTCACGTTAATAAATTTTGTGCATTCAAAACTTTTATAATACCCAAGACCACATCAATTTAGTTGTTATGTACTTTGTACATAGCTTTTGCATTTGAGTTGTTGCTTCATATTCTCTTGTGCATCAGCCCCCATTCCAGCTTAAATTTATTAAAAACAAAAAAAAATAGTATCTAATAGTACCAGCAACAAAGAAAAAAATCTGTTTAGCTTTATTACTTCTAATGAAAATCTCTATAAAAACTTTTAAAATATTGGGGTTACATTGTAACATTCTCAACTTTGTTCTACTTTTTACTTAATTGCGTTT